AAGCACAGTCCTACCGAAACAGCGTTGTGTTCATATTTGGCCAGATACAACTCTGAGAAAATTGTAACTTATTTAAAAATTTACACATCATTTTTAAATGATGGTCAGTTTTAAATTACGTAGAGTCAAAATCAGATACTCTGTCTGAAATACAGAATATCAGAATTTAAGAATGGATCTATTTAAATTTTATTACTTTTTAATGTTACATGAATTTGGGGTATTTGTCCATTTTACTCTTGCAGGCCTGGAATTCTTAACATACTTTTATTTAGAGGAGCAAAGGACAACAACATTAATAAAAATATTGAAACTTTTTTTTGATTATTTATGCCAGATATGTACTTAGTGCTCTACCACTATGACAGTGGAAAGCAGTCTGTGGATAAACATAAATATAATATATATATGTTCATGCTTATACTTGTATATGTGGGAAGAAAAAGTATGGACCAGAAATTATGTGTGTTTTTATTAAGAAAGGTCACAATAGAAAGAATTAACAGTAACATCAATCTCTATTTCTTTCAATTTCCTGTTGGATTATCTTAACTATCTCTATGTTCTCTCTTCCATCTCAGTTGAAAAGATAAGTTACCAGAAGGTAACTTATGTAATAAGACTCTTTATGCTTTTCTCTGGGTGCTCCTTTTAATACATTGCCATTATCTGTTATGCAAATATACAGAGAAATTGTAAGAGCAATTTCATACCACTGCATTCCTTTGTGTAAGGCAGGGAATCAGTGTTTCATCTGTGTAAGTTCTTTGCTTTTCCCTGTGGTGGCCTAAGGCATCCCTGAAACTTTTTCCTGCATTTTCCTGGCAGAGGCTTTATTTTGTGTTTGAGAGTATCTGGTTTAATTAGCAATGAATTTAAAGAGAGGAATGATGCTAGTCAATGAGATTTCTGTGGAGGTGGTAGATGAGGTGATGTTTCCTTGGGCCCTGGTCCACTTGGAAAGGTGGAGTTGCGCACTGTAGCAAAAAAGTAATTAAATATGCATAGAAAAATTTCCTTCATCTTAAACACAATCTTTACTGGAAATATTATTCAGTTTCAATGTTCTCATTTCTCTCCTATTTGAAATGAGTTATTTGTCATTGTATCAGTAGACTGACTCACAGGCATTGACATATTTCTTTTTGATGTTAGACCTGGCTGAAATAAAAATATTAAACCAATGGAAAAAGTCGACATCTTGGCTATCCATTTTAATAACTTTAGGCATTAATAATGACAGTTTTGTTAACAGATAACAGATAATGTTTGTACTAGAGACTGTTAGTGTTGCTATTCAGCTTTTTTTGCTGAGAATGAAAATAACTAACGATGGATAATTTATATAGAAAGAAAGAGCAAAGTCCAAGTCTTGCAAAGCTTACATTCTAGGGGCTTTCAGTGATTGCATTAAAGTTTAACATATGTATTCGTATGTGTAAAACTGGCCCTAAACAGAGACAGTGGGAGTGAGGCAGCACTCATATGATTGTTAAAAATGCTATATCAATGATTTGTTTTTCATCAGCTCCTTCCATCTGGCCCATTTTTCTTCTAATTGTTACTTAATTGAATACAAGCAAACAGTTGGTCCATTTTTCTTCATTATTTCATTCTGACACATTTCTGTAAATGGGTTTTGTCTTACAGACATGGCAATAGCATAAATTACAAAGATGAAGCATGTCTGAAACAAAAATTAGGAATTCTTTTTCTGTAATCTTTTCTTCAGGGTTGGATGCTTTATTAAATAGCAACCAAAGATATTTAAATGAGAAATTAACTCAAGCTATTTATTAAATGCTTAGCAGTAAACAATCTTATGAACAGCATGAAATGATCACACTTTACAAATCTGTTCATTCAGCCATACATCCTTAAGACAGAAGAGCTCCCATTAGTCAAAATCACTGAATTAACTCTGTGAATAAATTTTTCCCCTTTTCTTTGCAGAGAGAATGTGCTAATTTCATCAAGGTGCTTAAGGCTTACAACCAAACCCACCTGTACGCTTGTGGAACAGGGGCTTTTCATCCAGTCTGCACCTATATTGAAGTTGGAAGCCATCCTGAGGTAAACTATCTTAAAACAATATTTTTCTTTTTTCCTTTTTTTAATCATTATTGGTGTTTAACCATGATCTCTTCCCACCAAAATGCACTCTCACTGGTTTCTGTAGCTTGGGAGGTGGATCTGGTAAGACCTGCTCCTCAATCAGGTGCTGATGTGCTGATTGATAAATTACAGCAGAGTCTCTGCTTTTCTCCCCTACACAGCATCTTTTCCCCCAGGGGCTTAAATAAATATAAGAAAGTCCATCCTACCTGACTCATGAAGTTAAAAGCACTCTGTTTTTTTCAGTTGGGACAGATACCAGATATAAGAGGGATAGTTCAGCCAGTATGTTTATTCTGGGCCCAACTCTGTCCTTTACTTTCCTCCCAGTCAGTACAGTCTGGCACCACATCAGCTTTCTGCCAGCTGAGAATTAAAATAGTGTCACACGTTCATAAATCCCCCATGTCGTATTTGTGCTAAGACACTGACAGTTTTCCATATGTGACCTAGCTTTTGTTTCCTTAATTTTTTTGTGAAAAATAAATCACTCTCTCTTTCCCCCATTTTTTTAATCTGTATCTTCCTGAATTTTGCTTAGTGTTACAGAAATATTGAAGTAGCTCTTGTACTGTTTTGTCAGTTATCATCATAACTAGCTAGATAAACATGGCTTTCCCTCATAAAAGGAAGAATCACTCACAGGAGGCCGTGGGACTAGGCTGGTTTTCCTGGCTGAAGATTTGACTAGAATATCTCTGTGATCCACTTCAATACTTTTTCTCCCCAAAAAAAGCCAATTTCTTATTTTCTTGTTAAGATGACTATGTAATATAAATTATTCCACTCCACTGTATTTTCTGTCTGGCTTACCTGAGCACTGCTTAATGGACTGTTTTAGTTTAGGAGACTTCTGAGATGTTTTCAGCATCTGTGGATATATTTTACTAATGAATCCATAATTATGTTACTTGTAGCTTCTGTGATCTTCGAAAAACTCACTCTTTCAAGTTACCTTATGCTTTTGCAATTCAGGTTTGCAGATTTCCTTGAAAATAAAGACATCATTGCTAAATGAGTGAGGACTATTTCTTCTTGTAGAAAAGTTAACAGACCTTTTTAGTGTTGACTTCATAGTCTGGGAACTATTCTTTCCTATAAAAATGTCTTTTGATATTTGAAACATAAGTCTTTAAAATGTTCTAAGCATAAGGTTTTGAAGGGATAAAGGAGCTGCGGAGCGGAAAGGGTTTTGTTCAGATTCTTTAATGCTTTATTACAATGCATTCTTGGCAATTAGTGATTGTCTCTTGACCACACACAGTATGTCATTGCTTACTGCATTAAACAGATTCTCTGCTTCCTGAGATCCATTTGGGAATTGGTGGACGTATTAATTAACTCTAGTTCCGTAAGATGTGTGTCAATCAATTCTTGGCTATCTGCCAAGGGAATCTATCTGCAGAGAGATAGCTGGTATGAGGTCATTTACTTCTACATTTGGCTGTTTTATGGCTGTACCATAAAACTAACACACACTTTATCAAGGATTTATGGAAAGGATGATCAGAGATGAGAGGGCAGATCCAACCTTGGTTTAACATTCTGAGTTTTTAAAATCTTGAATCAATGATGTGTTTGGCCTTGGAGCTGAAAGAGGATGTTTGTTTTAGCTTCCTTTTAGCAGTCCCTAACTATAAACAAAATCTAAATTGTTGCCCTTCTTTTCTTTTTCGTCATTTATGCAGCAAGTTTGTAAGTCCTCCCCTGTGCCTAAATCATTCTCATGACCCTTGGTTTCATCTTTGCAAATGAGAGAACTCAGGAGTATGTTTTTTTTGAACTACCTCAGACACCATTAGCTTTTGTTTTCCTATTCATACTTAAGCTATGAGTGAAATCATCTTCAGCTGCCCTCCCAGTGGCACAAGTTTCTGTATCCTCTGGACAGCTGTGCAGGAGAGGTTACTGCCTTCTCAGCCTAGGTCTGCCCATGTGGAGAGAAAGTGAGGCAGGCATGAGGCAGCTGTACCCACATCTTCTTGGGGTTTGACAAATCTGACAGTCAGCCTGGGGCCTGTCCCTTGCAAAGGTGAAAATCGGATGAATAAATGAATTTATTAGATTTGCGATGAAAAATAATCTGTCCTGTCTCTGTCCCTCAGCTGGAGCCTGCTCCTTCCTTTCCCTTAGTACCTAGTAAGGAATTTCAAATGTGCATCTCCTCTGGGAGCTGAGGAAGAGGAGGGTGCTTGATTGACAGTAGCTATTAGAGACACCATGAATGAGAGGGATACAATATTAACCCCTGCACCCCTGCACACTGCATCTGTGAGAGCCAGATGGTTTATGTTCTCATGTCAGACAGCAGCACTGGACGTGTCAAAGAGCCATTGCTTCTGTATCATGTAGAGTTTATACCTCCCTAGCATACTAAAAAAGGTAAAAAGTATAAGCAAAGGTAAGCAGTTGATTTTGAGTTAAAAATTGCTGTCTAAAACATTTCCTGAAGATTCCTTTTCTGCCACAACACTTATGGAAAATTAACTGATTTCACCATCTGCTTATTTATTTTTCAAGCACTTAGAGAGGTAAATGTGAACTGATTAGGGGAATAGTCAGGGAATGTACCTACTCTCTAAAAAGACTGCTTGTTTATGTGAGCTCTGAATGTAACCCACCTGTCTGAATCCAGTGGAGGAGAGGAAATCAATGTGTGCCAAACTGAAGAGGGTGGAAAAGTGAAATTTAAAGAAAAGAGTGGCAAGTGGTAGAGGAGACCCTGGAAGCAATTGGAGTATGCTGCAGGAGGCTGGAATATGGCACAATTTTTATGACTGGGGAAATGAAATAAATTACTTTGTGTGACAGTCATAAAGTAATGGGAATATGAATTGTTATATCTGTTGAATATCTCTTTGATATGAAGCAGTGTATCACAGCCCCATTCCATACCTGAAGAAAACCATTTCCAGTGATGAAACCAGGCAGCTCTAATTGAGTCTGATGAAGTACAGTATCAGAAATAATAATAAAAAGCTAAAAGGATATGAACGGCATGCTGTGCATCTGATTAAAAATGATGTGCGCAAATGTATACAACCTAATATGTTGTGAATTACACCACAGTCTAAGGAGTACAGCAGACTAATCTTCGCTTAAATGCATTCCAGATGTGTAAGTGAATAACCACAGTATTTAGGGAGAAGAATAAAGTTAATGTTTCAATAGACTTTAAGCACGTAAGCCATGAGGAAGCAGGAAAGAACATATTTAGAGAGAATGTAGCATGTGGATACGCAGAAAATACCTGAAGAGAGCCTAATTTAAAGCTTGATATCATCCATTGTATGTGCATGAGTTTAGGAGAGATGACCTAACACAGACACCTACATAAACTCCGGGGATGGGGATCCGGGGTTAGGCAATATGTGGCATTCTGTCCTCATAACGCAATACAATACAAGAAACCAATTACTAGACAAAACAAGAAAGTAATTAGTAAAGCTATGTTTTGCACCCACTGACTTCTGAGGAAACAGGGCTGGATATGTAGGAATGTTGTACTTAACAGTTGCAGAATTACGCAAGTCAGATCTGTGCTTGAAAGGATCAAATCCAACTGCAGAGAGACACAGAGGTGCATTAAACCCCCTAGAAAATCACAACAGGATGCGGAATGCACCTGCCTGTGCATGCCTGAGCAGGGGGAAGGAACCCTACTCCCTTTCCCCAGGGCTCCCTTTGGGGTAGTTTGAATGAACCAGCAGGGAACAATCCTATTACAGTAAGAACAGGATTTTCCATTTACTTAACCCTTACGTACAGGTGGAGGTGTAGAAAATGCCCTATAGTACGATTTTTGGTTTTTTTTGAGTTTTTTGTTTTGTTTTGTTTTGTTTTGTTTTGTTTTGTTTTTTTAATCCTGAGACAGGCATTTCAAGAGCTGTACAAAATTGTTAGCCAGATTCTCAGCAGGAATGCATTCAGATTTCTTCAGCAGAGGTAAATCAATAAGCACTGTCTGAAGAACCAAACCAACTTCTTTTATTGTCTCCTAATACCAAATTTCTTGTCATGGTCCAACAGATTAAAACTCATTTTTAACTACATGAACTTAAAAGGTCTGGGATTGCTTTACTTGCAGGTTATTTCTCGATCAATAAAGAAGCTTTAAATTTAGTTCAGATTTATGATGTACATAAAACATTAAGTTATTGCATATGAAGTTATATAACGCTACCACCTGTAACATATTTGCTTTTTCCGGACTCTGTATATTTTAAAAATCTTTGGTTCAAGTCATAAAGTTTTGCTGAAATATACTTTCCACTCTTTTTTATCCTCTCTTTGTTTCATATTAGAAGAGGTCCAGAGTTCATTTTCTGAGTAATGGACATCCTGTTCTGATGCATTTATGCATCTATCTTTTTGTCTCTCTGTATTTTATACATATATAGTGATAGAGGAGCAGGTTTTTTTCCTAAGAGAATGACTTTGAAAGAATACACTAATTGAAGGACCAGTGCTACTGCTAGTAGAAAACTTGTATTTGGTTATCTAATATAAAAATTCAGAGTGAAATATTGATTTCAGTTGTAGCAGATGGGGCATAAATTGGCCTAACTTCATTGAAGACAGCAGACCTGTGACATTTTACATCAGTTAAGATTCTGGCCTGTTTATTTTTAAGTTAAGCATTTGAGAAAATGATTTTCTAAGTTACAAATCACCTCAGGAAAATTTTCTTTCCATCTAATTAATTACACTTTTATATGGTATTTAGATGCTTAAAAGATATAGAGAAAATATGAAAGAAAGGATACTGTTAAAGGATTATTCTCATTTGGGATATCACAATTGTGTGATGAAGCTATTAGTTGTGACATACTAGTTTTAAGCATCACTATAATCACAGAGAAATACCAAGAAAGGAAGGTCTAGTTCACAGACTACAATAGCCCACTTCAATTCACAGGTGCTTTAACCTTTCAAACTACCAGATATCCTGTTAGTAT